GCTTACAGAGGGGATCTGTCCATGGTGCTGAACTCTCCTCTCTTAGTGAGAACCTAAGGGCTGTCAGTTAGGATTGAGTACAGCAGCTATAAAGTCACAGTGTATCATACTGGGCACAAGTTATTAGTTAAGGATTTCTTATACAGTTTGAAAAGTTGTAGAAATAAAATCCAGCAGAGTAAGCAAAGGTCAAATGGAAAATTAGAATTATTTACAATAGAGAAGTATAGAGTCAACTTTTAAAAGTCATAAAGGAGGAGTTTGGGAAAGTACCAAGATGTAGCAAATCAACAGTTATGGAAAGTACCCAAAGAAAAGAGGAACAGTAGGAAGTAGGAACGATATAAATTGAACCTAACCTAAATACAAACCTTGTAAACTTATGTTTTAACAACGGATGTTAAATCCAGACTTGACCTCTGACTGTGTGATTACAGTGGTTTCAAGCATGCTGCCTGCCAAAAACAAACAAATAAAAACACCGCATCCCCCTGACCAGGATAACAAATGTTGGACCATTGCCAGGTGCTGATTGTCCTCCACAGAGCCTTAGAATCAATATCATGAAGTTTATTTGGGATCACAGAGTGGATTAAGAACAAACTCCAAACCCTCTCATTGCCATTCTGCTGCTGTTTTTCAAACCTCGACTTTGCTCATCCGAAAATCGTCATGTTGTAGTTTTTGAAGCTGGTGGTTAACACCTACCCTTAAAACAAACAAACAAAAATAAACTTCCAAACAAACAAAGAAAAAAAGAAGGTAAAGTTAACTCTCAGCTTTCATAGAGAGAGAACTAGTTTTAGACAGAATAGTGAGTACAGGTTTCTATGTTTTTAGTAAACACATACTTGCATATGTATATATGCAAGTATGTGTTTGTGTGTATTTATGTATTTATTTATTTTTTAATTTTAGCGTGTTCCTAGTGAAGTCTCAGAGATTCTATGTAGGATTTTATGTAAATACTACTAAAATTGTATTTGACTAATAAATATTTAACAACAACAACAACAACAATAAACAAAACAGCAGTGTCTTCACATAACAGTTCCAGTTTACAACTATTCTCCCTCTCAATTTCCCAGTTGTATTTTGTCAGAGTATTATCCAAGTGTTCCTCTCTGCTGTGTACTCTGTGTACTAAAGTTGGGGGAAACTCTAATACACATTTTAATCCCATCACTCCTTTCCACACGGATGCTTGGGTATGAACATGTGAAGTATCTTCACTTACCAAAGCCACTGGCATATTTAGCACCTGTGTTTCTGCTCTTGGGCTGTGAAGACTCCATTATGATGCGACATGGTCACATGGCCACGGAGGAGAAACAAACACGGTGCATTCTGAACAGTTTGCTGCAGATATTGACACTTTGTATGATGCACAGCATCAGGGAGAAGGAAAAGTTCCAGAGAACTGGTGAACTGTGTCTCCGTGGAGACGGAGGAGAGACTGTTCATTAATGGATTTGTTGTGTGTGTGTGTGTGTGTGTGTGCATGGGGCCGTGTTATTTAATTATTTGCTGCCCTCCCATCCCTGTCTCTGTGGTTCTTTCTGTCAGGCCCTCCGTCCCTGTTTCTTTCCCTCTCATGCGTCTCCTCTGGTTCTTCATCACTGGGGAAACAGGGATGGATCAAAGATGGAAGGAGAGCAACTCAAATTGGCTGCTTTTGGAGCAGGTGATCTCTACACCCTCTCTCTCTCTCTGCTCTCTTACCTCTTCTAAATTCCCTTTTGTCTTTTGCTCCTACTTCTCCTCATTACCTTAATGTTTCCTAACTCACGACTTCCTCTTTGTTTTGCTCTCGTCTTGCCGTCTCCTCCTCTGACTTCAGAGATTCTCTCCTAATTTTTCACTCTTTTGTAACTCTCCTGATCCCCGTTCCTCACTTCCCGTGACCCCCCCCCACCTTCTCCTCCTGTATAGACCCCTCCTCATCCTGCCTTTTCTTCTTCACAGTGAACCAAACAAAGCAGCCACCCTGCCCACTCCCCTGTATGATTTTGTGGCGTACACAGATGTTCTGTAATCAGAGACATGATGTGTAACAACATTTCAAATGCTGTGATGTTACGTCTCTTTGACCCACAGATTAATTTGGCTCTTTGACCATCAGCTCTACCCTCCCACAACAATTCTCTCCCTTGTTTTGCATTTCATAATCGAGTTTTTTCACAGCCTGTTCAAGGCTGTAGGGAAGAGGCTCCTCTCCTTTTCTCCCCCAGTCTCTCTTCCTCTTCATCTCTTTGTTACTGCAGTATGAGCTCACTATCATTAAACTAGAACGGATAGACGTTTTGTAGGTTTATACTGTATGTTAAACCTAAGACAACGTTTTAGTTCGGTTTAGTCTCAAACCATTTCAGGATCAAACCGTAGCTTTTCTTTTCTAACCTCAGGATCAACAGTTGTTGAAGTTGTACTGAGCAAGGAAACACTTGCAACTATCATTATTTTAATATACTGTAGGTGATTATACAGCGATCTCGAACCTTGGTTTCTGTTCATAAACTCTTTTTCAGTTTAGAAGAAAATAAAGTCTGGCCTTTTGCTTAACGTGACTCTGACACTTGCAGAAAAACAACAAACCAACCAGAATTTCTGGGAAAGAAAAAAGAAATGTAAAAACACTTTTTTTTTTATTTTGTACCTTACTGGTAAAGCTTGACAGTTAAAAAGTTAGTCATAACTTCAATTCCCATTTGGTGCACTGTTCCCCAGACACTAACTGTTTTTTTATGCAGTCATAAAATAAAAAAAAGTAGAATATGTTAGCAGCTTTCTTACCTGGAAAAAAAGTTTACTGAAGGCTTCAGGTCTGTGCTTAGGCTCAGTGTTTTGTTTTTTAACTCTTTAACTCATTAAAAATTACATTTGTTTAGTTATATGTACTGTTATTTTCTCTCCTGTTGAAGCTTGTACACTACTTCTCCCCTCAACTGTATCATAGTATAAAAACACTGGTGTAACATGATACACAGATGTACAGTGGCTCTGACAAGGTGGACTTGGATTTCTTTGCTTGTCGATGCAGCTGCAGCGCGATATACATTCGTTACCATCAGAAAAGCATGTTTCCAGAGGAGTCATTTACTCAGTAGCTGGCTCTTCAGTTAATAACTGATTATTAGGTACTCCAATTAATTAGCATACCACTGACTTTGACACACACTTAATAACATGGTAAACACTTGTTAAATTTTAATCACAAGGTAATTAAGCCTTCATTGGAAAATAGCAACACGGCCGTACTCGTTGAGCCTGTCATTAAACAAAGTGGAACATGTAAAAAAAAACCCCATCATTGTGTGATGTGTGAGTCTGCGTGAAAGGCCGAGCTCTAACCTTTGTTGAGGGAAATTATTTTACTGCCAGTAAACAACTGTTAATCCGCTGTAGCCCCGGTTCTATTAATAAAGTTGAAACAAGCTACCTTCACAGAGAAGGTCAGGGCCGGAGCATGTGGTGTCACGAGGTAATTATTTTATACTTTAGTTATTGTGTTATTTTAATGTGTGTGATGTGAGCAACTGAACCAGATGATCAGGTTTGAAGGTCACGCTATGAGCTTTAAACAGAAGTAACTATGATTTTTTTTTTTTGTTTTTTGGTATGGACGCACCAATGCTTAGATCACACTTCTTTTTTTGGGAAATTTTTTCTGCCTTTGAGTTTGAAGACAGGTTGGTACGCAACGTCAAAATGTGGTAAATTCTCGATATACTTTATATATTTCTGCCACACATGTTTAACATAGAAGATCACAAAAGTATTTTCTTTATGTTTTGTTAAAAGTAACTCTCTGTGAAAGTGTTTGGACTCATAAGTCACATTTTGGGAGACGAAACAAAACATTTTAAAAGTCAACAGTAAAGAAGTGAGGACAGAAAGTGTTACGAAATCTGTACGACATTAAAACTCCGAGAAAAAAAACTCTGACTCATTCAAACAATCTGTACGACATTAAAACTCCGAGAATGGAAATGGCAACAAACTGTTTCCTAATAAAAACAAAATATTCCTCTGACTCATTCAAATGGAAGCCATTCAAATATACAATTTTATTCAGAAACCCCATAAGTTATTCAGGCTGAACCTCATCTGAAACTGGCTTAAAGGCAACATAACCCCCCCCCGTTGGTCATATGTGGAGCTTGTTATTTGTAAGAACTAGTAAAACCCAGAAAAAATGTTTCATACAACCTAAATAAATATATACAAATTGTGTTTCCCTGTCTTTTTGATTTATACACGCACACACGTGTGCATGTATACAGTATATATACAGACATCCACAAACTTAAGTTCTCAGGACATGTGGTGGGTTGGACTCCTTAGGTTTGACATATTTGATATACATTTCTTTGACATTTTCTCACTTTTGATACTTTTTTGAAAATATAAAGTATTAAGGATCTAATAATGCATTTATGTGGTGATCATTTCTTTCTTAACATATCAGAGTACCATATAAGACTTTCACAATTTTAATAAAAATATAAATGAGGAAAAACTGTTAATAATTTTAAGGTCGACGGGTGACGTGAGGCAGACTCTTAAGATAATGGACAACCTGAAGGAATGAAGATAGACAACATTGGTATATAGAAAAAATATAATAAAGAGTTTAAAAAACAGTGTATAGTCTATAGAGTGCTGCTGTGTGAAAATGAACTGTGCTGAGTGGCAGCAGGTGACCAAGTTCTAAAACGGGAAGACAGACCCTAATTAAAGCATAATGCTTCACATAAGATCTCGGCGCCTCTGTCTGTCAGCGTTAAACGCTCGCTAAACACCCGAGAAGTCTTTACACAGTTTGTCGGAGGAGGCAGGAGGAGGAAGGAGTCAACTGTTTTTTTTCTCACACGGTCGTTCCTTAACTGTCACTGCTGTCATCCTGTGTCAAACCAGTGACAGAATCAAATCAAATCAAAGATCTTACCATGTATCAGCATTGTTCACAGTAACAGTGTGTCTCGTCCTCTCTGTTTCAGCTCGTCTCACCAGTGTTCAGGGCTACGATTGTCAGGAGACGGGGAAAAGACAGAAGGTGAGGACACTTTGTCTTTGTCCTTCTTCTGTGATTAATGGGTGAGATGAAACAGTTTACAGTTATATCTGTACAGTACAACACAACCACAGAATTGAGATACTGTCCTACATCAGTGCAGAATAGAACATCGTTACCCAAAGACTGGGTCGCGACCCGCAGGTGGGTCGCAAGAGATTTTTTTGGGGTCGTCTGGGTCACGAAGGTTTGTGACTTGTAAAATACGGGTCCCCAGAAAAAAAAGTTTTGGAAACACTGGAATAGAAGATATGGTATAAACAGTGTGGAGTTAAATACACGGGAGCTCAGTTTATGACATCATCGACCTACGGCGAGCTTTTCTTGCCCTTTATTTTGACTCCCAGGCATAAGTCAGACTCTTCTGATGTGTTTCCTAGATTATGATGTCACCACTGTGATAGCACAGGTGAGTGACATACTGTATAGGTCGACATATGTTGACAAACGCCAGCAGTGGTTTGGTGGTGCATCATGGGATTTTTTTTTCTTTTAAAATATAATAAAAAAAGTGTCCATTCTGAAGTGTACATATCATATCCTTCCCTTATTTGCATTCATTTTTAAGACCATCAATGTGTGTGTCTTTCTCTTCACTTCCACTTCAGTGGCGACCAAACCATTTCATCCATTGTCTGCACTTAACCGAGTCACTTTTATTGCAGTTTAAACTGAGCTTCTGTAAGTTATTTTTGTGGCCCACGGTGCAGTTTATATTGCATTAAATCCAGATTTATCTTAGTGGCCGAGCGTATACTGCACGCTGTATCTGTTTTGTGTGTGTGTGTGTGATGGAGAGGAGCCTTGCGCCTCACTTGGTCATGTGAGCTGGTGTGATTGAACCTCTGTGATTTAGCCGTCATGTCAGAGAATATTGATGCCTGTGCAGCTCCAGTAGGGAAATTATAAAGCCAGGAAATGCATCTTAATTGCCGTTTAAGTGGGCCTCTTCATCAGAATAAGAGGGAGAAGAGGGGAGCACACGGCGCGACAGGGGGTTTGGAGGAAACAGATAAACGGGTTAACGCCTTTCACCGGCAGTGATGATACTTTAAAGTGTCTTGGCGGCACGTCTGTGTTAAGGAGAGACGAATAAACTCCTAAAGAAACGCTAATAGTTGATGACTGCCTCGTGAATAAAGGCTCTCATCGCGTCCTCTAACTACACTTCCATTTGCAATTAAGTCACATTAGTTCTTCTCATGTGACTGTCAGTGTGGTTGTGCGGTGCTGTTTCCTAAAAACTGAAGAAAGAACAAAAAAAAACAAAAAAAACAGCAAAAAGGTATCAGTTTGAATACATTGTACAACGCCCAATCAGCCAGAATAGAAACACAGAGAATGTGTTTGTATCTGTGGCTTCTGTTAATGTTGCAGTAGATTGATCACAGCAGGCAGACAGGTGAGAGGTGAGACGCTCTCCATGTCTGAGGACACTGAGTGGACATTGTGTCCAACGTGCGTGGCCATGAAAAATAATAAAGTGACGTCTACTTAATTTATTTTTTTCAAGTCACTCTGTTTCATTTCTAATTTCCTGTGAAAAGACACGGCTGCTCCCATTATTTCCCTGTCTGTTTTCGCTGCCGTTGAGCCGTCCAAGCTGTCACAAATGCACTAAGCTGTTTGCACACTCAACTTGACCCTGCTAAAATGCCTCCGGTCACTGTGGTGACGATAAAGCTCTCTTATAATTGGTTTCCTGCTTTGTTCCTCCTCTCAGAGCAGGGGAAACGCTCAGGTTACCGTCACTGTGCCGCCGAGCGATAAAGCCGACTCTGCTAGCTTCAGGCACTGTCGAGGAATGACTGCTCAGGATTAATTTTCAGGAATATGCTAAGAAGAATTAAATCAATGTAGAATGTAGTTTGGCCCAAATGTCTTCAGACCGATTTGACCCCCAACACACACACACACACACACACACACACTACACTATTAAAAAAACTACATGACAGATCGTTCCTCTGCGTGTTCTGCACAAGGTGAGTGACTGTAATTCAGTCATTGTTGGGGACAATCACAGTGAAAACCCACTGCTGCTCTGACGCTCATGTCTTTGAAACACTGTCAAAGCTGTTTTGTTTTTTTTTTCCTTTCTTGCATTTATTTTTATCAACCGTTTGTGTGTGTTTTTCTCTCCTGTCTTCTCTGGTTCAGAACCATGTGGACATAAACGATGTGAAGCCAGATATCTTCAAAGACATGACGTGACTCATCCACACAGGAAACGCTCCCAACCTGCACATGATGCCTGCAGACCTGCTGGCTGCAGCTGACAAGGTACTGTGTGTGTCTGTGTGTGTGTGTGTGTGTGTGTGTGTGTGTGTTATTTAATACAATATTCTAATGAAGGAGTTTGAGTAATAAACAATAATATACAATCATCCAGACCACCCAACAGAAACATATATATACATCCATATATGTACATGTACAGTATATGTATATATGGGTATATGTGCATGCATATGTATATATGTATATATATGTACATGTATATACGTATATATATATATATATATCAGTCCATATGTAAAAAATATATATATAGTATAAATACATCAGTTACACAGTAGGAGGTTAACATGGGGCTATAGATTTTCCAAACTTTAATCCTCTATGTTATGTTAACTAAATGGTGGGTTGTGACCCCTAAGTGTGTCTCAGTGTTGGGTTTTTCTGTGTAAATCTTACCTGACTGGTCACTTCTTTAAAAGTTGAGAAAGAAATGCTTTCTATAGGAATTTTATTATTTAAAATAGTAATTTGTGATTTGTTTAATTTTTTGTTTTTTAAATTAGCATTTTAATTTTAATTTACATATTCTCAACTAAGAATTGAATTGATTTTCTTCCTCACTTGAGTCTTTTCTTTATATGAACAGAAATGTGAGTCTCTGTGTAGAAGTATTATGGTATGTTCACTGTGCCTAATATTCACGGCAGGACTTCTTGCTGTACTACACAACTTTTCTTTTGTTAAACATCTTTAGGTTGTTTAACTCAGACTAGTAAATAGTTCGAAATTTACAATAAATCTTGATGCTAAGATCATACCTTCATGTTAACATCAACTTTAATCTTTGGCTAGTTATTTCACACACCTTTCACAAGTTTTACATTTATTCTATTGATAAATAACTCATGTTTTATCGCGTACAAGTACACTTCCTCTGCAGATGTTAAAGGAAGGTATTTTACTCCTTTGTTGTTTTCTTTGCTCAAATACCAAATAAAATCATTCTTTTTTACCTTCTTCTACTCCAACCCACATTCTTCCAGGTTTATTTATCTCAGCACCTTTACTTTATTACTGTCGAATGCCTTTACTCTTAAAGCCCAGCGCGGAGTCTGCATGAATATAAGAGCAGATTGTTCTCCCTGGCAGTTTCATAATCAAGCTCACTTCAAACTCAGGCAGCATAACTGTCACTTCACTCTCTCCCGGCCGTACGTTTCCTTATTCAATTTAAGCGTCGTTGCCGCTGCGGCCGAGCGACTCCGAGTTTCCACATCATTACGTGGGGTGACAATGGCTGTTAGTGGCAGTGTTATTTAGGTAATTTAGTTTACCTGCTGCTCCTCCCTTATCTCCTGCTCCCTACTGTACGTCATCGGCAGTACGCGGGGGAGAGGGGTGAGGGACGGGACTCTCATGCTCACCAATGGTCATGGTCCTGACGACAAAGGCTTGGCTGGAGTATTTTTTTTTTCTTGCGCTCTGATAGGTAAACTTTGGCAGACATTTAGTTTCACACCATCGTATACAGTGAGGTACTTAGTTTTTGTTTATAGGAGGTCATAATTTCCAGTGGGAGCAATTTAAACCGGGGGAAACATGATTTAATCCCCGGCTCAGACCGTTTCACTGCCATATCACGTTGAACCATTTAGTAATAAACCTGAACTACAAATGTTTTTCATTTTGTGAGCTGCCTTGTTTAGTTGAGAAAAGGCCTGCGAGGATCAATTACCATGATTTACATCTAAGAAGAGGTGATTGATCCTGTACTTAATGCTCGTAGTAGGAAATCCATCCCAGGTACTACTACTGTATGTGGTTCATTATTTTCCTCTTGAATATTTGACGTACTGTTGTCCAGGTCTTTGTCCACTCTCTGCAGATTTACCGAGTCGTCGGCGCTCCGACTCCCTCACCTCTCTGTTCACCTCTATTTCTTTCTCCCCTATTTTCCCTCTGCTGTTCTGTGCTTAATGTTGGCTCATGTGATATTTTCCCTCTGCTGTTCTGTGCTTAAGACCTCATGTGGGCCTAAAGGTGTTCAGTAATGCAGATTTCTGCCCCTAATCCCTGTCATTAATTGTGGTTATGGGCGTTATGACAGTTTAATTTGCGACTGTGTTGTTGCGGTGCCGGGAAAATTGGCCACGGGGGACTCTTGGCCAGCAAAGCGTTATCAACCCTCCTCCTGCGGACACAATCGACAGGAACAAGAGCAACAAAACAAAAATCAATTTGGAGGACGAATACAGAAAACAGATGATACCAAGGAACCGATAATCCTCCCCCCAGCAGCACCTCAACCTCTATCCAGACCGGTCTTTACAAGGAGCTTACAGTTATTTAGTGGAGACAATAGGCGTCCTTTTCCCGCTCCTTCTTTTTCTCATTTATTCATCCTCTCCTGGGGTGTAGCAGGGAGTAAAGCTTTCTCTACACTTTGTCAACAGAAAGGAGTTTACAGAACTCTTTTTCAGCGTAACATGTTTTTAATTGGGAGAATAAAGCAGTGCTAGGACAAACTCTTCCAGAAAAAAAATCTGTAGTTTGGGAATTCACTTTAATATTCTAGGCCAGAGAAAATGATGTTCTTACTGCTGTTGACTTATTATATCAGTGGTAAATTATTCGACCACTCTGACCATGGAGCACATGACCATTGTCTCTGGGTCCATCTCAGGTCAGTGTAGTCACTGGCACGTGTGTACGAACCAGAGATGTTTTAGCACTGGTATGTTGCTGTACGGTAGCAAACCAGTTTCAAGGCAATACCGCCTATGGCCTGCAGGTTTATACACATTAAGAAGTGGTTTCAGTTGCTGGCTTTTTAGGGAAAGCTGTTGTTTCTTTAGCAAATGATTAGCTTTCTGTGAAAATGCTACAGGACACGGGCTAACCTTCGATGCGGCCGCAGATACGTTTGTTTTCCTGTTCTTTCATGTTGGATTGTTTTTTCTGGTAAATGTTACAGGCATCAATTCAGTTATTGTAAAGGAAATAGAGTTAGCTTGTCAGCAGTGTCTTACACTGAAAATATTTCTCTGCCCTTTTACCTCATGGTTGAAGTGAATTACTTTACCTTTCAGGGTTTTTTTTCCCAGAGAGTATTCTGAATCCTGGTGACAATGAGCTTTGTCAATGTAATGAAATTGTGACATGAGTTATTGAAGGTCCAGAAATTCATATTTTTGATAATTGTGCTTGTGTTTTTTTCTCATTATTGCTGCTGCCTGGAGGTCAGCGCTTACTCTCTTTTTAATTTACCATCACTATCACAACGCTGCCCCGCCGTCCCTCTGTCTCTCCCTGTTCCTCTCGTACTTTCATTACTCTCCCTCACCTCCTGTGTTTTTTTATTAATTTTTTTATTTGTCACTGCCGTCTGTCTGCTTCTCTCTCTCACACTCACACTCCTTCCTATCCTGCTGTGGCTGCTCTCCTCGTGCCCTTTGGTTGACCTGTTGCCTCCATCTCGGCACACAAGCCATTACTGTAAGCAGGGGTTCACATCCTCCACAGGGAGAAGGGTCAGAGGTCAGCTGGAGGTCTGAGCTGCTGCTGTGCGGACAGCAAATGACTGCACACACAAACACACACACACCTGCCAGGAAATATACTAAGACAGAAACACAAATTGTTGTGTGTTTACACATTATAAAATATGAAAAATGTCATTAAAGGCCATGTCCAACAGTCCATCATCCCTGGGGTGTGAGGAGGGGGGGGAGGCCACCGGACCTCCTCAAGGACGCCCACGTATGCGGACGTTAATTATCCACTTCTTGGCAATAAAAAGGTATCAAATTATTTTATTTTTCATTTTTTTGGTTAATTGGCTTAAAATAAAACTTTTCAAAAAATGTTACAAATAGATAATTATATAAATTAATAAATAAACCACAGTGGATTCTTGTATGAAGTCATTGTCGATAAAGGTCATCAACCGGGTTAATGTTGATAAAGTTTCTAATCTTCTCACTTGTCCATGTTACTTGCACTTCTGTCTAAGTTCTTCAAAGTGACCTCTGTGGTTGAACATTGAAAAGATATGAAGTAAATAACAGTTCTGCCAGCTGGTACAGTATGACAAATCCTCAGGGCTGGGCAACACACAGATTGAGTCACATTATCCCTCACACTTGACAAACTGGTGTTTACTTCTTTACCACTTTATATTTATTACCATGGACATTTCCTCACCTTCTAATGTGTGTGTTTGTGTGAGTGTGTGAGTGTGTGTTCCAACTCCTGTTGTTCTTTTTCCCCGTTAGTCATGTGGCTGATGTGATGGAGTCGTCAGGCTGAAGGTCCTGGTGACCTCTCACTCCCACGACTGGTAGCACAAACATGTCTTTGCCTGACCTTTGACATCTTTCCTATTCTGGGCCCACCACAGAAAGTTCACAAGCTGTCCTCCGGTTGGTCCTCCTGTGGGATATGATTGTGGAGGAATGACTGCGCTGTTACGTGGTCAGAGAACAGGAATGTTGGAACGTGGAAATTAGGAACTAGATATTCACAGATTTCTTACATCCTCACCTTTTCACTTTTACAATTTTAGAAAGTTAGCAGCCTTCGATCCAGTAGCTGCAAAGGAATGACATCAAAGAGTCCATGTAAATAATAGTTTTAATATAAATATAAAATATAGTATAAATAAAACTCTTATATATAACAAAAGAACAAAAAAAGCAGTTTTCCTTCTAGTAAAATACAAATGTGTTTATCTGTTAAATTCAACCCCCAGTGGACTTTTCCAGAAACATCTTCATTGTTATCACCACTAATGAGAGAGTGGCCTTCTACTTGAACTGTGTTATAGAAAAAAATCTGTCTGTGTTGACCAAAGTGGAGTTCTGTAAATCACTGCTCATTGACCATTTTAGGTTTAATCACTGCAAAAATCTTGATAAAGAGAACAAGCAGTATTTTCACAATACTTCATTTTATACTAACCAAAAATGTCACAGCGTTGACTAAGAAAGTAACAGTAGGTTTTGGAGAACATCGGCAAAGTTAAAAAGATGAAGTCTGGATCG